AATTGAACTCGCATAAAATGTACAAAGTCTTTTCTGATTATATATATATATATATATGTAATAAAATTTCATTAATATGAAAAATCTATCTTTATAAATATTAAATTTTAAGATTCGATCGAATTCGCGTATTTTTACGCGTTAATAACTTCATGGAGGAGATATTTCAAAAGAATACAGAAGAATCGAAAGTTCGAAAATGTATAGAAATAATCATATCTACAAGGTTTATTCAGAACGTCCGGCTGACCTATTCCACTTCTATAGTGGCATCGTAATGGTGGGGCGCTCTTTGCTACGCATCACGGTGGGGATAGTGTCTGAGCAGTGGAACCCCTTCCTATAGCACTGTCGAGCGTCACGGAGGGGATGCTATGGCTGAAACGACGCTCCCCACCCTTGTGGAAACTACTTAAGTTTCAGGGTGCACGTCGTTCCACGGTTCACTCTCGTTTTGACGATCGACGGGAAGATATCTTTCTTTTTTTTTTATCAATTTTTTTCTTTTTGCTAATTTATTTCATAGATATATTAATCAGGGCTAATAAAATAAATAAAATATAGTATATTTTTAAATCAATTCGTACAAATATTGTTTTAAATAAATAAATATCTATAAATCATGAAAAAATAGTAAAACTGAAAGTAATATAAAAAATTTATTTTTAATATTTAAAAAATAAAAAATAGGATACAGTTATCTTTGATATTTTTTGCGTTTTAATTGAATGGAAAATAGATACTTTATTTACATCGAATCCAGATATTAATATTAAATAGTATTTACTTATGGAAATATTTCATTTTTTTAATATATATTTGTTTTAATTTATCTTATATTTTTCTCTCTGATATTATATATTACATAATTATGAAATAAAATTAAGACATCTCTATATTCTTTGTATCAAAAAAAAATAAAATATAAAATTCTTCATACGATATTGCTTTATATAAGCATTTCACGATCGTTATATTATCACAAAACGTGCGTTTTCCATAGAATAACAACTCATCGAATCCAAAGGATTCGTAGACGCGATATTTTTGATCGAAGAAAAGGAATAAAAGATCGCTTCCCTAATATGCACCGAACGCACACGAACGCGACGCGTTTTTCGGTATATGCGCTCGCCTTTATGCATATGGGCGACTGGTCCGTAGATGCGCATGCGTACCATGAGTTTACATACTACACACGTGTTACTATAGATGTTACTACGGCGAGTACTCTGTAATCTGACACAGAGTACGGAGATTGAACCCGACTGAGCGAGACTCGTTGAACCGGAAGTAATCCCACGGGAAAGCAAGATAAAAAAAAAAGGAAAAAAATTGCTCGATTACTTTTGCAACGAATGGTCGTATAACCTCACAATCACCGCGTACGATGAATGCCTGTTCTCGTTCGCGGTTTCCATCTCCTCGAATCTTCTCGCGCGTTTTCCACCGAACCGTTTTCATTTAGACGTTAATATATTCTCACTGATATCTGAAAATAAATCTTTATATATTCAAATAGAATATTTTACGTATGAGCAAACGTACATTTCAATATACCAAACCTATAAAAAAAAAAAAAATACTTGCAATCGTGATGCATTCGATGCATAAATAATATTCGACGAATACAGAATACATTCACGATAAAAAAAATATTATCATTTATATACTCGTCTACTGACTTATCTCGCTGTAAGCCAATCTTTTCGTAGAAGAAAAGAGACGGAAATATGAAAAAGCTGAAGGAAATTGTGTGTCGGAAAAATCGGTGGATTACACGTGATACGCATCGCGTTACCGCGCTCTCAGTGTGTCCGGTAATCTGTAAGCTTGTGGATTGAACACAATCGAGCTTGGCTGCTGACCCGGAAGTAATCCCCGGCAAAGAAGATAAAAAACGTAGCTTCTACTACTTGTATAGCTGATACTCGTGACCGTGCCACGAGGCATTACCGTTCCCTATATACGTATGGATGTACACTTAAAAGACCTTATGGGTTATTTCAGATGGACGTACCATGAGGGTATTGTCCGATTCAAGATTCGTCGAGTGCCGATCGAGCACTCGAGCGGAGCTTTATTGGAAGCTACATGTGCGCGTACTGTTCTATCTCGGTGTATATCGATATACTAGGTGTTCCTAGTGGTTTAGCACGTTTTTCATGGCTGCGTATTTTTTAAGTCGCGATTGCGTGCCGCGATTTCGTAACTACTTATCGCTCATATTACGAAAAGAAAATTTCTTTGTGAAATAATACGTTTGACGCTTATGCAACTGAAGCTTTATACGGTGCGGGCAATCGTTGCTTTAGTTCGATTGCGAAAGTGTATGGACACATTTACGGGTACACCTTATAAGTTCGGCGAAAGAAAGAAGGAAGAGCGAGGTTGGTTGATCGTTAACGAGAATTTTTCGAAGGAAAATATTTATATAGGAGGGTACACACGATACGCTTTCAACTCGAGATGGAATATTATTATTACGAGGATAATTTTCGAAAGCAATTTATACGCTACCGGTAATAAATTTGTGAAGATTGTGGCATCGTAGAAACGCATGGAAATCCAATCATCAAACGAATCACTACTACGAAGAAATACGAATAAATATCCGACCGGATTCTCTAATCCCAAGGTAAAATTTTGTCGAGAGGGCATGATTGACCTTGGTACGCGTGAGAAGCCTTTCAAATTATCCCGCGAACTAGGTCAAACGTTAAACGTTCATCCGCGTGTGCTTGTACGGAAAGAAATAGAGCAAATATTGCGCTCTGTAATCAATTAACGATCCCAGTGCGGATCGATGCACGCCTGCGAAACGATATCCCTTCGATACCGTTTTAAACGCAACTCATTAAATCGGACCCCGAGTTTATCTCGTGTAATTTTTCTCATTCAATTTACGTTTCCCACCTCCGTTGAAATTATTTCCGTTTATTATCCTGGATTGAGAAGAGGGGAAAAGAGTTGAAAAAAAAAAGAGAGAGAGAGAAAGAGAGAGAAATAAAAGGAACATCTCTAATCCTTTCCACCGTTTAATCCTTCCTCCTGACGGCGGGAGAGAGAGAGAAAGAGAGAGAAAAAAGAAAATATCGTCCGTGAAGAGAAAACACGATGAATTTCGAAAAGCGCGAACTGTCCGTACGTCCCGCGTTTTTACCCCACGGAAAACGCTCCCTCAAACCGTGCATGGGGAAACGATAATCCAGATAAGCTGCTAAATGCTAGCAATTTGAGCGGCGGGATCTCCAGAAACAATATTCCGTACTTGAAATCGACTAATGCCGGGGAACCCGGCCGATTTCTTATATACCGGGTGTCTTTCTCAATTCCTGCATACTTATGTATATATATCCATTGAGAAACATATTTTTCCAAAAGATATTCCTTAAGAAGAAAGATAACATTGAAAATATCTTCACGAGTATTGAATATTGAAATATCGAAATATCTATTATATTATTGAAATTATTGCTCGAAGCTTAGCAGTCTTCTAGCGATCAAAAATAAAAAAGAAATAATGTCACGTTAAACGGCCGAGAAACTGAAGGGAAAACGACAGGGAAGGGAAGGGAAGGGAAGAGGAAAGGGAAGAGGAGTGCGCAAAGATAAAAAAAAAAAAAAAAAAAAAAGGAGGAGAAAATAAAAATGAGGAGGGAATAACAAAGGAAGCGTGGAATAAAATAAGGAAGAGAGAAACAGAAACACGAGGAAGAGGGAGGGGAAGATGAACAGAGGCGAACATGGAGGTATAGACAGAGAGGGAAGAGTCGGTGATGCGGAGTGAAAGTCCTCAAGTAAAAACCAGGCCAGGGCTTCGTATCTCGACGAGAACACACCAGGACCATTATGCAATTACGGCGACGCATTTGCTGCCATCTTTCCACCGCTGCCTTGGTCCACCGTCCTCGTTTCCCTTAGCAATTTACCTTCTAAATCGCTCAAAGTTTTCAAATTACCATAACCGCCCTTTGGCCCTTAGATACGGGGACGTAATTCACCGGCAATTAACGAGAGCCTGAGATCGGTTGGCCCAATCGGCTTCGTCGATTATTAAAATACGGCTAGGAAACGATGGATCGAAATGCTTTTTTGGAAAAAAAATGGGAACAGAAATCGAGACCGCAATCGGTATCGCGACTCGAATAACGAGGTTGCGATATGAACACGTGTTACGTAGTCAAACGTTCTAGTTTGTTGCACCGGAAGAATGGCGTAAAATTATTATCGAGGTAATAATTCATTTTAAAAATATATTTTCGCCTGCAATATCCAGATAGTAGAAGGAACGTGAAATTATTAGATCGTTGCAGATAAAAATAACCGAATTCTTAGATATTTACGTTTTTTTTTTTACGTTTGTAACTTTATATATAGATTTATATGTATAATAATATTAATTGAAATTTCGATTCGATAAATATCAATATATATCTATGGAAAAACAAGATTAAAATTATTATAATTAAAATCATGTTATGATCGAAAATGAAACAAATTTCTACTTATATCTATTATTATCTCATACTTGTGACAAACTTCTGCTTCTTTTTTTAATATAAACGTGTTAAATTTTAAACTTGTATATAAGAAAAAACCTGTTGAAATTCGAATGTTAAAGCATAGCTCGTTACATAATAAAAATACGATAAAACAATTGAACAAAATATCGTGTGTTCAACTAGCCACGAATTCATCAGCACATATTTTTTCGTTAAATTTCAAATGTCGAATCATCAATATTATTCTATAATTACAAAACAAAATTAATCAGAGGATGGTCAAATTTCTCTTTTAAATCCCCCTCTTGTCCAAATCTCTCTTAACGCGTATCGAAACATAATACATAATCGCGAAAAGATTCGACGCGTCTCCGAAAACCGGAAATCGGAGCAATTTCGCTTTCACAAAAAAAAAAAAAAAAAGGTATCACATGCAGGGGCATACGCATGCAGGGAAAAAAGGTAAAAAAAAAATTATAAATATTATTGACTTACTGAAGTGTGAGGCGGTGTAGGCGAACAAAAGCAGTCCGGAAATGAGTCGCAGTGACGTCGCATCCATTTTTTGGTTCCGGCTTCTGTTGGCCCGAGTCCTCTTCTCTCCCGCTTATCGCTCACGCGGATGATGGCACATGTATACACACACGAACCACACGCGCGCACTTACTTTTGATCTGGAATTCGAAAGGAACACTGTGAAACCTCGGCGATCCCCGCGACAGTTTCCTCGACGACGAGGGAGGGGGTTTTTCTTGCTCTCTTTTTTCCCCCCCTCGCTCACGCGTGTCTCGAGCTGTCGCGGCCAGAAAATCTTTGTTTTTTTTTTTTTTTTTTTTTTTTACAAAAGAACGAGAATCCTTGAAAACCTTTCGCCGGGGAACCATGAAACGACACCGTGATCTCGGACAAATGATTTAAATGATTATCTGATTTATGCATCCTGTTCTTCGAGAATTATTCAACTTGAGTTCTAATTAAATAATATAATAGAGTTGGCGTGTAGATTTGAAAGAGATTTTGTCGATTAAATTTATAAAGAATCGGGAAAAAAGTTGGTTAAAGTCGCGAGGAAGCGAGGAAGAAGAGCAAAATGGGGGGAATTATTTATTAAGATAATTAAAATAATCGGTGTGTAAGGGATTGCGAGAAGAGACAAACCAGAACGAATTGTAGCAACACTCGAATCGATCGGTTGATGGAAACTTGGGTCGAAACTTGGGAGGGACAACGGAGTCCTGTGAAGGAGAACGTGTTGACTACTGACCGAGGCAACGCCGACTGAGCAGAAATTCGCCATCGGACTGCCGGCACACCTTTCCCGTACCTACTTGCGGGTTTGAAAAAATCCGCACAGCCTACAGCCGACCTCGACAGAGCCCATGAAATGCCGTCGATACATACTTTCTATTAACGCACAACAAATATCTTCCTTCGAACGAGTCTATCGAATTGTCCAATTGCCGAGTTGTCCCTCACTTTTCTCTTTACAACTCTGTATATTTATCGAGTTGATATGCGGTAAAATTGCAAAAGAAACTAGGAATTTCGCGTTGTCACAATGACGGTAATTCGCCTCTCTCTCTCTCTCTCTAAATGAACAAATTGCGTTTTCTTGTGTACAGAAATTTTAATTGGTAAACGAAACAAAATAAACGAAAACTTTTCCATTCTTTATTTCAATTCGTGAATGAATAATTTAATGCAAATATCCTGTTCGCGAAGCGGAAGGAATTTTCATCGATTGAAAATCGATATGATAGAATATAATGGAATCTTGATTTTCAGAATTATCAACAATTATCCGTGTAACAACAGATTAATCTATTAATCGAAGATTTCGTTGGAAACACGTTGAACGAAGCATATTAAATCAAAGAGAAAATAAAACGCGCGATGCAATTCCGATGAGCGGAATTAAAATGCGATCGTGGTGGATCAGAGTTCATTCACGCGATGCATCTTTAATTGCTTCGTTCGATTGTCTAATTGACAAGGGGAAGATGGGCAGGAAGAAAGCTTCGCACGTATTGGAATGTAGGTTCGTGCATGCAATACGCATCTGATCGCAATGTTTTTCGATAATTGCATCCCTTTGCGCAACACGAGGCGAATGGAAAGTGGAAATGAATCGTGTTTTGGATTTAGAAACGCGGGACGAACGCGCCATTTTCTGAAAACACGCGACACAGATTTTATCGTATGCAGGTATGATTCACAGTTGCATACCTTCGTTACTGATCATTACATCCGTCGAAATAAAAACGGTTAAAAATGTTTTTTTCGAAGGGAATGTTGTGTACTTGGTAATAAAAATGTATAATGACGTAAATGTATTGACATTGTACATATATTTTCCACGCTTTCACCACGGTGAATTATTTCTCACCGATGTCTGATTATTATTAACGTATCATCTATTGTGCACGTAACGTGTACATTGCACACGCATCGTTGTATATTTTCGTTATACACACACACACACACACACACACACACACACATACACACGTCCTGGTCGTAATCTCTTTCCATCGAGCGAGAACGCACGAAAATCGACCGCCGTTTTCACATCGGATGTAGAAACAATTTCACTCGATCCACGACTCGCGCTCTAGTTGCTCGAAATGCAATTTCACCAGCCAGTTTTCGATTTATCTTCCAAAATAAAAGGAAAGAACCACTGGGAATACACTCGATTTTCCCAAAATTATTCGCACTGTATATTCCAAACAACTCTTCATCAAAATCGTTCCAGCCTACTCATTCCAATATCTCTTAAAAAAAAAAAGGAAACCGATCACAATACGAGACAACGTGCCACCCCCGTCATAAACGAAAGATTACAGAAGCAATGCCACCTTGCAATACACGCAGATAACCTGTCGAGATCAACAAATCACCGAAAACATCCTCCAAACATCGAGAGACCTCTCGTCAGGAAGCGATAAATCCACCGATATCTCTCTGTTTTTCAACGCGACGATGAATCCTCCGAGGAGAGGGCAAAAAAAAAAAATCGCGGCGACAGCGATTAACCATAATTTAATCGAAGGACGAATTGGAATCGTCGTAGAGAATATCGCGAGGAAAAGGGTTTTTAACCTGTTCAGCTTACGCTGGGCGCAGCGCAGCGCGGCAGAGAGAGCAGGGAGAGCCCGCGCCAAGCTCACTCGCATCGGGTGCGTTAGAGCGCGCGTTTTCGGACGTGGAAGGACTGACTGGGGTTACGCGCGTAGCGTACGCGGGTCCGGGACATGTATTGGCGGCCAGGGAAGCTCCACCTATCGCGTCCCAGAGTGGGAGGATACAGGGACGACCTCGAGCTTGCGCCCTCGAACGGATCTCCGCTCGAAGCACAACCCCTTCCTTGGCTTTTTCCCAACTTTCGAGCTTGCGGTGCACCCCCTCCCCTGCTAACCCCTACGAGCGCACCTACGAGCCAACGTAGTCACCATTACCGGCGCCAGTTCTGCGCCCAATCTCCCACCCCCTCCCACCACCCCTTGGATAAGAGCTCCAGCCTGACACGGGCTACGAGCTAGTGATGGGACCAATACCCTCGCGTCGACTTATCGATACATTCGAGAACACCCTGTCGATTGTTATCGCGGCCGATCTTGTAAGTGGGGGAATAAGGGATGGTGGGAAGGAATTCTCGTTGTGACGAGAAAGGGTTGGAACAGGATTGGAATCGAGTAAACTTTGGATGACACCACGTTGGATGCTTTCAGATTCGTATTTCGAGGGATGTGCTACGCGCGATCACCTACTGTAGTAGGCAGGTTGCGCTCTACTCCTACGTATCGGTCATCCGATTGACCCGAGTTGAACGGATTAACGTTTACGGTGTCGTCGTGTCAATTTCCATACTATAAATAAGCGAAGTAATAATATTGCAACTTGAATGGGGAACGCCACATCGAACATTGGACACCTACGATAGGTTAAAGTTCGTTCGAAGGTCCTCCTACGTGAAGGGTACGCCTTCTACGAGGAGGATATACTACGTGAATGACTTGGTCGAATTACCTCCTCCCCGAAACATCATGCTGCACTGTACGAAACGTGGTCGATTTTGGAAAGTTGGACGCCATCGCTGGGTAGAAATTTGGGCCGGGAGGAACGAACCGCAGGCACGTCGAGGTATCAGGAAGAGAGGGAGAGGGGGAGGGGACGTGGCGCAATCTGCAGTTACAGATCGTTTCTTCTTGTAACGAACCGCGGTTAGAAGGTTCGTCTTGTTCCACTTGTCCGTTAGAATCGACCACCCTCCTCGACCGTCCGTTGTCTCGTCCCTCGATACGCGTCCCACCCAACCCCCGACAACCCCCCACTGGTGTTTTTGCGCTCTTAGCCGGCGCTCGCAGCCTTTAATGAATGTAATACGATTTCGTTGTCGCGGCAAAGAATTCGAAATCAGCTCAATGGTTTTATCTGTTTCCGCGTGGAAGGATGAAGGTGGTGGTGGGGGGGGGGGGAAGAGAGGAGAGAGGAGAAAGTTGAGACGAAGGGAGGAATAATTGAGATTACTCCAAGAGAGTATAGTGAAAGAAATATAATAGGAGGATTAAAATACAAGATGCGTAATAGGCATAATAAAAAAAAAAAGATGGGAGGGGAAGAAGGGTAGGGGAGACGATTAAAAAAAAAAAGAGAATAGGATAAAGAGGAAAAAACGGGAGGAAAATAATCAACGTGAAGTTGAAGTAGCAAACGCTCCTTTATGAGATGGGCGTGTCTATATAACAATCAGAAAACGATGATACAAGCGAGCTCAACTATAGTTGATCGTTACGCGTGCATAGAAATATTCATGCACGATGAGCACGAGCGTTTAATCGTGATTCAAACATATCTCTATATCTGAAATTTTCGTTTTCGATAAAATTCTTGTCCCTCTGTCGAATCCGGTGCTGTGTGAAAAGCACAAGAAACAGAGAAAAAGGAAAGAAATCCGCTTCGATAGTAGTCAAAGACCGTTTGCCTTAAAATCCTGAAGGTATCGAGAAAGGATTCGATCGAATCGAGTTATCCGAAAACGAAACTGTTTAAATCAAGCGATTTGGTTACGCTCGGTTTAACTCTTAATTAGAGTCATTTAGGGGTAATAAGTAGATCGATAGCTTCGTCATTCCATTGTTGTCGTTCCAATGTTCTTCGACGATACATTTTGCATGGCTACACGGTACATTGAAGCCGGCTTTCCCCGGTCGTTCACGCGAGGTTTAAGTGTGTCCGGGACGCGTAGCTCTCGTGGTCGATGAAATCGTTGCTTTTAACGCGGCTTCACCATCGTTTCCGCGCAACTTTTTTCTCTCTTTCTTTTTTTTTTCTTTTTTTTTTTTTTTTTTTACACTCGAGGAATCAGTTACGATCCCTATTCACGACCGTTTCCGTGTAACTATTTTTTTTTCTTTTTCTGTAATATATTCTGAGAAATCAGTTACAATACTTATTCACTGATTATTCAATGTGAGTATAAGAACACGGTGAATGGAATTTAATTTATTTCGTGGATAATCGATCACGATAATTGGAATAGATCGAAGAGCAAATCGAACATTAATTTTATTTCTTTATTTTTTTTTTTTGTTGTATGAAAATGTAGAAAAAATAACATAACATATTTTGGAATTTTGATTAAGACGAATAAAAGATTATTGGGAAATTGCATCAAATTGTAGAGAAATTAATAAATTATTATATTTCAAATTTTAAATAATATTAAAAAATAATGCAAAGTTAAAATTATTTTTTTTACAAAATTAAAAAGAATATATATTTATAAAAATTATTCTGTTTTGAGATCTAATCAAATACAAAAATCCAATATATAATTGTAATATTAGATAAATATTTTCCAATCTCCATTATTATGATATAATCAACCATGTTTGTTTTTCAAAATTTTCATTATATATCTATGACTAATCATTTTATTTGTAAATTGATTAATCAATGACTTTTCATCATTTAGTAATCCGAATAACTTAATTCTTGAAATAGTTTCAATTATTAATTCTTCGATATTTTAACAATATGACATTGAAATCCAATCACATTGAAATCAATAATACAATTAAAACGCAAACAATTACATTAAATGATTTACTTTAAAGTTTTGATTAATATATTAACTAATATTGATTTTAAGAATTGAAAAATTTTAGGCATTTTATTTTTCTGCAGAAATAATAATTTTTACACAAATTTCATTCTTAAAATAGATCATTCTCTCTTACTATTTACAATGTTGCAAATTCATTTCCCTTTCAC